CTTCTTCCTCCAAAGACGCATCCATGACTATTTACCGCTGCGATACCGAGCGGTCTACCGAGTGCGCTCGGTAGACCGAAATACCGAGGCGATATACCGACTGCGATAATATCGCGTTCCTCGGAGTACCGCGCCAGTGTGCGGGCCTCCATTTACCGCAATGTAATTAGATATCGTCCCGTACCGTACCGAGCTGAGTATCGCGTCTGTGTGTGGGAGCCTTAAAGGTGTAATCACCCAGAAGACCACAATCTCGACTGTTTACCTTCAGTTCTTAGCGTAACGATACCACGGGAGTCTGTACATAGTTGCTCGAAAAATGCACCTTCATTAATCAAGCCAATACGTGTGTGTGTGTAGTGTGAGAGACTGTTTAAAAACATTACACAAACTACGAATATTTAGTAGGTACTACCGAATGAGAACGGCATGCGGTAACGTACTTGGCTGAGGCACTACGCTACAAGCCGGGAAGATCGTGGGTTCGTATCCCGATGAGGTAATTGGATTTTTCAAACGACCTAATCTTTCTAGCTCTATCATGGCCTTGGAGTCGAATCAGCTTCTAACACAAATGAGAATCAAGAATCCTTCTTTGGGCCGGGGGGGGAGGGCGGTCTGCGCGTAAGGCTGACCTCACCGACATCTTTGAGAAAATGTGAGAACCTCAACGTCTCTGTTACGGCCCAAATTTGAGATTGGAGATGGTATGGTATTACCCAAAAGCTAGAGACTTGCGAAAAGAGTTTCGCAGCTATTGCCGTAAATTGTAAACACCAGGACTGGTAATTAGGTTAAGAATGTGAAGACTCAGCAAGTCTCGGTGTACTCACAAAGCCAGTAGCTACCTCACTCGTACACTGGATTCAATCGCAAGAGACTGCTTACACAGCAATAAGACGCAAGGGGTCCGCCCACAACCACCCAGGAGAGCCAATGAGGAGGTTATTATGAGGATTGAGGGCACTGAGGGGGAGTCACCTACCCTCTGTCGTCAATGCCGAATCAGCGAATTAAAACGATAAATTAGGGAACTTCGGGGGATTTGGAGCACGTTCTATCACAGAATATTCGGTTGTCAGCCGGAGGCTCTCGGCGACATGTATACCATAAGAGGGTGGATGACGGCAGTGATCTACATATGTATTGCAAGTAAGTCTCTTTGCTCATATACGCCATGCTGTTAAAGGTTATTGTTAATACCAGTGTTATTGTGAGATAATGAGGCAGTATCCAGTGAACCAAGTGAGAGTCAGGGTAGAACAGGGTAGGAATGAATGTACAGTAGCAGACGATGATAGGAGCGCAGTTTCAGAGCACCTCCCCTTCACAAACTAGGATGGTAGAATGAGTTAAGCGAGAAGTGTCATGTCAACAGATAAGAGCAGGCCTTTTTCTTAATGTGTTTATTATTGTAAATAGACAGTGTACATATTGGAAAATGTACGCAGGGAGTTCTGATTCACCTGTTAGTAACCATCCCGACCTCAACCGATCCCGGGCTTCCCTAGCCAAGACAGCCGACGGCAGCCGAGTGCAACGTAGATGTTAGCAAAAGAGTAATAACCGATGAAAGTATTCATAAGTCCTCACCCCCTCCCCCTGAGGTGTAACAGTCTCATAGCCCTAATGGACCTTCACGGCTTGTTACAGGGATAGTTTTACTGCCGAATGAGATTTCATGCCATGAAAGGTAAGTCTACAGCTATAGGAGAAATTACACAGATTTTGCCTAAGGAAACTGAGGAAAGAAGTGAACCGCTCCATCCCCAGCCCATAGAAAGTGAACGTGCATAAACACTTTTTACATTTGAAGTCACATAAACTATACACCACCAAAACCATGAACATCGCAGTAGAGTATACGGAAAAGATAAAGTTGAGATAGGCTTCCACGCATGTTCAGCTTCGCACTAGACTAATGTGAATGATAAATTACCCACTCCGGCTATCTTTATCCCGGTATTCAATAGGTATGAATCTGAGTGAGCCTGGGCCGTCTTCTGAACGTGTTGGTGAAAATAGAAATTCCTAAACCCATACAGGGCGTCGAACCCCAGCCATTTATTTCACAGATGTTGAATTAAGAAACAAACAGTAGCTCCTGACAGTTCAGTGCTTGTATAACACACGTTTCTCTGTCATCATACCAGACAACGTATTTTCAATCGATGCAAGCAATCTAATTGAGACATTGCTGTAATATGCACGCGAAGTCACGAAATTCTCCGTAGTGTACAATGTTGCATAATCAATTCTTTCGCTTGCTGTCTGGAAATGCAAACTGACGATCACCTGTTTAACTTTCTTGACGACTGCTACAAAGGAAACGAGCGTTACATGGAAGGGAGGTCATCAAATATTAACGTTATATTAGACACAAATTCATAATCGATACTATTGATTATTGCAAGTAATGAAAAAAAAAATGAAGATGTAGACTGTATTTGTATTTAATAAGAGGAGTACATACCTTACAGATACCTGATTGGTTTTGGTGTTCATTTATTTCTGCTGCAAATCTTGTAGGGCAATCTTCGTTTCATTAAACATGTAAACACACAGTTTGAAATCTCTTGTAGGACACCTGTTTGAAAAGGGAAAGACACATTTACTCCAACCCACTTGTCAATTTACCTTTCTGTTATTACATCCTATCACTATTCCTACAACGTATTGGTGGAAAACTAAATCTTTAGTAAGTATTACGCACTTATTGAATCACATTAACGTTCTATACTTTTCAATAAAACTTGTTTATAATAGCAAAACAAATTTTCATTTCAATACGTAACCATTTTACTTCTACCCAGAGAAATATGAAAAATAAAAGCTATAGTTTCGAGTGGTTTCACATACAGACGACCTGTTTTAAAATCTTCACACTCTTAAACTTATAACTATTGGACTAGAGTAAAAAATATATTTTTCTTATATGCCTATTTCGTTAAATAGTCAGCACACACACAAAAACATGATGTAAAAGCTATAGATAATTTAACTTTAAGTTATGTACAGTATACGTTTGCAATACGCGCTGTTGATGAAAGATCGATGTGTTAGATTCGAGCTTCTTGAGATATTTACATTTGACAGATGCAAAACAAAATTAAATTTATCGAACAACTTTCAGCATAGCTTTACCTTTCCAAAATTAAATTCCATCTAAATTCGATCAGTGGTTTGCACACGAAACATGCGCATGGAAAACCCACCATCATCCGCTCCTTATTTTCACCTTGTGCACACATAAGTTTGTTCCGGTCTGGCTTGGCCGACATGTACTTCCGTTGGTGGTTACGGTCGTTACCAACGTTTTGGATCTTTTGAATAAATGTTCTGTCTCAACCAGCACAGCAGAAGGCGCCATTCATCGCCTTTCATTACGTTTCCACAATTTAGAAGACAACAATCAAGAAAACTTTAAAAGGAAGATATCGAATGAATGATTAATTCTTGAATTCATTCTTTCCACTTTTGTTTACATGATTCGATAGTTTGCAACATTCGAACTATTCGACGTTTATTCGAATGCGCACACCAGCTTTCGATTGCTGAATGTTAAATGCTGTTAGTGGAACGCAGCGGGGATTGAAATATTGTGTAGTAGGGATACTGCTTCCAAATAAGCGTGAATGTAGTAAAATTATAACTAACTGTGAGAGACATTAATTTCATATATCAGTATGATTCGCATTCAAGCACAGCCAGACAGAATTGATCCTGCAGAAGAGAAAAAGAAATCGAGGGAAAATGTAATAGCAAATGTGACTACATTTGCACTTCTCATTGCACTTATCAGATCGGGTACGTAACTGTTTGCGGAACACATTATACACATTTTATAACGGGCTGAAATGCACTGGATTTGAAACTAATTTCCTGTGTGACATGTCGCCTGCTAATGGACGTACTTAACCTCCAGGTTCAGACTTTTCAGCTTGATATGGTTGTTATACCACAAATCAGATATTAATTTCCTGTTCGTTCATTTTACAGTTCCATATGCACTTCGGCAGTTCCAGTAATTAAGGCGCAGTTCATTTAAATAAACGCTGTACAGTAAACTACATTGCGTTTTATAAATCGAGTTATAATTGTAATGTTACAATCAATAAATAATCTCTGATACAAGCCCATTTTATTTGACTAAACCTCACACATGAATTTCCACACTGTTTGATGACTGAAACCCATACTCATGAACTATGGAATCCATTTGTCATCTCCAGCGTCCCTGAATGGACTTTGCCAGCCTAACCTATACAGCGCCTGGAGTGAAAGTCCGACAACAGAACCTTCTAATGGTATCACCCAGATAGAGTCAAATTATAACCTGGAAAATAAAGAGTTTCACAATTATATGGGGGTTGTTTCTTAGTACAGAAATGGTATATCCTATCTTGTAGATAATCATAGAATAGAAGGTTGCTGAATAGGTAGTTAGCCCCATTACATAATTTATGAGAGGTGAGTGTGCCCATGTGGTCTGATTGGAGGTAGTATGTTTATTGAAATTTTCACATACCTTTCTTTTGGTATCTGAAATCCACACAGCCAAGATGCAGATAAACCACAAAGTTGCAGCAACTGATTAATACAGGTGAGTCATAACACAAAAGCTTTAAAACTGCAGGGAAGGTTTCAACTGTCCATAACACCCAAAATGCCTGACCAGTACTCTTCAGGCTCACTATGTAAGACCCCTGCTAAATTTTGCAGTCAATTATCTGCAAGTCATATTTATTGCAATATAACTTGAGAGTTGACACCACTGTTAAATGCTACCACTTTATGTATTTTTCAGATCAGAAGCCCTTACAACTATTATTCCCCATGTGTGAAAACATCCCATTTCTTTTGTATATGAAGTATATGTATATTCGTTCTCCTTCAAATACTGAATTCATTGATATCAAAAGACATCTTCCTTAAGTGGTGTGCATTTAACTTACAGGCAGCTCAGAGTTTTAGTACTAATAGTTTGAAGAATATCATAAAAGTGTTTAAGATTCAGCAATTTCATGAATAGACTAAAATTGAATTAATCATATGTATGTATGTATCTTTTGAGGTTTTCATGGTGGTGAATGTTGAAATTTTGGTCTTGTAGGTGGATACCAACATTTCAGAGGAATACACTGCTTCCATTTTCAGTGCTTAAGGTCTTTATTTTACCTCGCAAGTTTCCATGAAAATTAAGCTTTGCACTTATTCGTTCCACAAAGTGCTTATGATTAATGCATTATGGGGATTATTTCTATCTGGCCTCAAACCTGTAAAACTATTTGACAAATTTCAACAAAATTTGACAGATCCACATTAACATATCAGACTATTATACCTACTTCATAAAACTGAATTCCTTGTATTTTCCCCATTAGGAATAACAGGATAATAATTGGTATTACCACCATCTTTCATGCAGTGAGAAAAAAAAAAAAAAAAAAAAAACCCACCACCAAAGCTGTGTAGTGTCTGTTGTACTGATTAGCAACATCAGGTTTACATGTACAGTAACAGAACTGAACTGCTCAAGCAGTTAGTTCCTGGCTTCCCACTGCAGCGGCCCAGGTCTGGTCAACTGGGAATTGTGGTGGACAAAGTGGCCCTGGGGCAGGTTTTCTCCAAGTACTTTGGTTTCCCCTGCCAATCTTCATTCCACCAAACTCTCCACCATAATAATCACCCAGGGCAGGCTACATTAAACCAATCAGTGGCCGCTGTGCCGAGTGAACCCTGCTGGACTCCACTCCCCACTAAGCAAATTAAAAAAAAAAATGAATAGAACTGTACTACTCTAGCAGTTAGTTGCTGGCTTCCTGGGTCTGGTCAAGTGGGATTTCTCAGAGTATTTTGGTTTCCCCTGCCAATCTTCATTCCACCAAATTCTCCATCATCATAATCACCCAGGGCAGACTACAATAGGCCAATCAGTGGCCGCTGTGCTGAGTGAATAAACATAGCGAGCAATGAGGTATGTAAAATTATGAAGAATGCATTTCTAAAATGCGTACAGCAAAGTGGAGCTGCTATATGCTTACAAGGATAAGACTGTGAAGGTCACATACTATTAGGAGGTACATCAAGCAGGGTTTTATATTGATCAGTGAATGAACATCTCCAGTCTGTTCTTCCCCTAAGCTTTTCTTTGCGATTTTTGATTCCATGCCCATATTTTCTTCTTGCTGTTTCTGGTAGTTGGCAGAACCATCTTGTTGTGGGCTATTCCACAGGCCTCTTTCCTTTAAATTTAATTTAATAATACCCTCATTCTGTCCATCGTATTTGTGATGCTTTCTCTTTCAGCTCGGTTAACAAACCTTGAACTCCATGCCCTTCCTATAAGGATTTAATTTCTAAGTCTATACTTTCATCTTTTTTCATCAGTACTCCTCAAAATCATTGCTTGAATTCTGCTTTTGTTACTTTGCAACAATTCTGTTTTGGCATTATCTGTAAAGTTACCTTTGTACTTCATACTGGATTTATGAAAATGCTTTCCAAATGGAAAGGACAGCCTTGAATGCTTGTACCTGTATAATTCTATCAGAAATCTGGCAATTTGCCTGTGTAATATGGCAGATAGTATTATTGGGGGGGGGGGG